GTCCAACAAACTTAGTGAGTTGCCTGCTGCAGTCTACTCAGGGCTCAGCAGCTTGCAAGAGCTTTACTTGTATCAAAACGAGCTCAGTGAGTTGCCTGCTGAAGTCTTCTCAGGGCTCAGCAGCTTGCAGAAGCTTTACTTGTATCAAAACGAGCTCAGTGAGTTGCCTGCTGAAGTCTTCTCAGGGCTCAGCAGCTTGCAGAAGCTTGACTTGTATCAAAACGAGCTCAGTGAGTTGCCTGCTGAAGTCTTCTCAGGGCTCAGCAGCTTGCAGAAGCTTTACTTGTATCAAAACGATCTCAGTGAGCTGCCTGCTGAAGTCTTTTCAGGACTCAGCAACTTGCAGGAGCTTTACTTGTATCAAAACGAGCTCAGTGAGCTGCCTGCTGAAGTCTTTTCAGGACTCAGCAACTTGCAGGAACTGGACCTGCATTTTAACAAGCTCAACGAGTTGCCTGCTGAAGTCTTTGCAGGGCTCAGCAAGTTGCAGAAGCTCGACCTGAGGTCCAACAAACTCAGCGAGTTGCCTGCTGAAGTCTTCTCAGGGCTCAGCAGCTTGCAGAAGCTGTACTTGTACGGAAACGAGCTCAAGGAGTTGCCCGCAATTTGTTCAAGTATCGACTGCCTAAATCCCTGAGATATCCGGCTTAAATCGGCTTAGTGGATGTCCTTTCTGTTCGAAAATGGGTCGAGCTGCCTGGGGGATCAGGTTGTAGTCTCGCTCTTTCCACCAGGCTGCATGGTTTCTGTTGATGACTCTGAGGTCCCAGCTAGAGCCGGTCTGCAAGCACCAAGGCCGAGGCCGGGAGCACTTGAATTATGTTCAAAGTCAGCAAAGGCATCAGGGTTTTATGATAGTTTTATGATGTTTTATGGTTTTATCATGTTTTATCCAGGTTTCTGTCCTCGCCTGGTGATTTTTTGGAGTTTGGACTCGATTGCTGTGGGATGAGATGGGATGTCTTGCTGTTTTTTTTTGGCTGGCAACTACCTGAAAACTCCTTTTCACTCTTTGTAAGGTTCAATGTATAGCCCTCCGGCAAGAAAACCATTAGGTCTGTCCGGAGCGGAACAGAAATTGTTTGTTTTGAACCTGGAAGGAAGCTGCTGAGAGAGGTATAACAAAGTTTCCATCTGGCCAAACACAAGTCCCGACTCAACACCTTCCAGATCCTTCCAGGCTATTTCAGTTTTTTTAAAGATGAAAGGCGTGCCCTGTCACTGACTGATTCTTGGAATTTCTGTTCCCTTCAACGACCGAAACGTGTCTTTGTGCTGTTCGTGTCCAGCGGTGTTTCGAGTTCTCCGTGGCAAGACACACCTGGTGCTCAGGCCACGCTACGACAGTCAGCGACCAGGCGCCGGAAAAGACTTTGGGCGCTGGGCGTCGCAATTTTCTGATGTTTTTTTCGCGATTCACACATTGAAACAGCACCACTTGAATCCAGAACATCAGAACTAAAATGAAATACGACCAATTGTTTGTTCGTGGCTTGGTGGGCGCACTTGCAGCACGGTGGCATAGTGGCGGTCACAATATCATCATGCGGTTTTATAAAAACCATGGGCCGCCCACTGCGACATGGCATATGATCCACATCTTCGACAACCAACCGGAAAAATTATGAAAATCGGATCTTTTCCTTTGGATCGTTTAGTAGAGAAGGGCCGTAAATGAGTGAGTTTAGGTGGGCCTATGGGCCTATAGCTTTGCACTAAAAGCCCTACAGGTGATCACAGCACGGAATGCGAATGGGGTTCCGATATTTTGATCATTGGCTGCGCACCCAAGAATCAATGCTCGGGGATACTGCCTTCGATCTCAATTGATATCATATTTTCATTGATATTCATAAATCAATGATAAATATAAATAACGTTTAATAAATATACATCATATTGTCTGGTTGAACTCACCCTGGGGTTGTTACGCAGTTCATGACCACTGTACGCTGGAAGTTATATGAGTTTACAGAATTAGACGAGTTACAACATGTATATAACCCTTCTATAACATGTCTATAACCTGCTTGCAAGTATGTAAAGTGTCATAACATTTGATAAGTAATTTGTAAGTTTAGCTAGCCGGCTACGAGAAGTTGTAAATGTTTAGGTAAAATATAAATGGTTAATGAACTTATCGTAAGTATCTTAACTGCAAGTTTTCTTTTTATAACTATGTTAACAGACTTAACATAAGTATCTAGGAAAAGTTATCATAAGTTATCTGAAAGTTAACAAAAGTTATAAAAAGTTATAAAAAGTTACAAAAAGTTAGTATAAAGTTATATAAAGTTATATAAAGTTTAAAATATGTTTACAAGAGGGCAATGAAAATGTTTCTTTATTTTACATTTTTCGAGAGTTTCATTAAGTTTGTGACAAAGCTTGTCAACATTTATACAGGGTGAAAAAAGGCATATTGCGTGTGCTGCCTGAGTTCTTTGGTTTGATCATTTTAGATTAAACTAAGTATCATATACAAGTACTTCCTGCAAGGGATATGGTCTGCAAAGATACTTCCTGAAAAGGACAGAGTCTGAAGTGATAGTTCCTGAAAGGGAAATAGTCTGGAATGACAGTTCCTGAGAAGGATCCGGTCTGAGAAGACAGTTCCTGAGAAGGATCCGGTCTGAGAAGACAGTTCCTGCAAAGGAAAGAGTCTGAAATGACAATTCCTGAGAAGGATCCGGTCTGAGAAGACAGTTTCTGAAAAGGATTAATTCTTCGATTTTCAACCTTTCCCCTATAAATGTCCCTAGATAGCTATAGTTCAGCTATAGTTAGCTATAGTTCAGCTATATAGTTCAGCTATAGTTCAGTTCTATAGTTCAGCTATAGTTCTATAGTAGTTCTATATAGTTCATAGTTCTATAGTTCCGTTCTATAGTTCATAGTTCTATAGTTCACTATAGTTCTATAGTTCATAGTTCAGCTATAGTTCATAGTTCTATAGTTCAGTTCCGCTATAGTTCCGCTATAGTTCCACTATAGTTCCGCTATAGTTCCGCTATAGTTCCGCTATAGTTCCGCTATAGTTCCGCTATAGTTCCGCTATAGTTCCACTATAGTTCCGCTATAGTTCCGCTATAGTTCCGCTATAGTTCCGCTATAGTTCCGCTATAGTTCCGCTATAGTTCAGCTATAGTTCCGCTATAGTTCCGCTATAGTTCCGCTATAGTTCCGCTATAGTTCCGCTATAGTTCCGCTATAGTTCCGCTATAGTTCCGCTATAGTTCCGCTATAGTTCCGCTATAGTTCCGCTATAGTTCCGCTATAGTTCCACTATAGTTCCGCTATAGTTCCGCTATAGTTCCACTATAGTTCCGCTATAGTTCCGCTATAGTTCAGCTATAGTTCCGCTATAGTTCCGCTATAGTTTCCCTATAGTTCCGCTATAGTTCCGCTATAGTTCCACTATAGTTCCGCTATAGTTCCGCTATAGTTCAGCTATAGTTCAGCTATAGTTCAGCTATAGTTCAGACAAAAATAGCTATAGTTCAAAGAAAAATAGCTATAGTTCAGACAAAAATAGCAATAGTTCAGATAAAAATGGCTATAGTTCAGAAAAAAAAATGGCTATAGTTCAAACAAAAATAGCTATAGTTCAAAAAAAAAAAGGCTATAGTTCAGAAAAAAAATGGCTATAGTTCAGACAAAAATATTGGTCTTTCAGAAAAAATGGCTATAGTTCAGACAAAACTAGCTATACCAGCACGCTCCGAGGCTTTAGTTACTAAGGGTGTTCGAGTTAGTTAAGCTTCCGGCACCGAAAGCATGTTGTATTTTTCGGTGATGTTTTTAGCTCCATTACCAGTCATTGCTGCGCCACCTCATGGGATCTCTGTGCCAGCTAACTCTGTGATAAGACATTGATTCACACCAATAAAGCTGCGCTGTCCAGCACAAAATCAAGTGATGCCAGCCCAACTTTGACAAAAGATATGTTCATACACTGACTCTGAGAATAGTCACCTTGACAGGATGTGACTATTCTCTGCGGGAGAAAAAACATATACATATACATAAACATATGCATATACATGAACATGTACATATACATGTACATGTACATAAATATATATACATTGGCATATATAATATATATATATATATATATATAATGACATATATACACACATATATATATATATAAACATAACATTTACATATATGCATACATATACATATACGTATGCATGTACAAAAACATATACATATACATATACATTTACATAAAAATATACATCCACACGCACATGATACCCTAAACATTGCATCGCCCACATTTTTATTTTACATAACTAATTTGGTGAACCCCGGTTCCACAACTATAAGAGATATACATTCATATTTATGGGTAACCATCATTTCTACCAATCTTGTGAATGGAATGGTGCACCATGGTTTCCAAATGTTTTGGTCAATGAACCAATGTGGTATATAAACCTGCTTATGTATATATAATGGTTAACTTCCCGGTTATGTCGTTTGTGGTGGTGAAACCTCATTTACCATGCAAAAAAAAACATGGTGTTGGAAAATGACCCGTAGATAGATACAAATTATTTCCCCAATCAAACAAAATAAACCATTTTCCACTGCCATGTTTCAAACCACATGGTAGAAAATCTGGTTAATGGGTCAACGGATGTTTCCGCTGCTTTTTTTGGAGCGAACAATTACACAATTAAAATGGCAAACCATCATCCCCATTTGCTTTTCACCATCATCCCCATTTGTTTTTCATGGAAAGGGAATTCCTTACCACAAATGTTATGCTTATTGTTAAGTAAATAAATAGAACTAAGAAGATACAAACATATAAAGACATAATATATACATAAATCATGGTGAACCAGAGGGTGGCAAAAAATATATATGTAGATACACTTAGAACCAATGGTGAGACCACAAATGATGGATAGTTAACCCCGGTTCCAATTCTGGGTGAAAAGTGGTGACAGGCTAGGATAGGTTAAACCCGTTGGCCATTAGAGGTTTTTTTCTCGCCCCCATGTCTCACGAGCTCTATGGCGAATCTCACCGCTGGGACACTCAGCGGGTATCTTCATCCACGCTGGTTGTGGCAATGGTTTCCCAATGGAATGCCAGAAACAAACAGAACCTTTGAAAGAATCGTGGCAGGATGCTGCAAGAGGATCCTGCAGGGCACATAGCTGCTAGGTCGGTTATTCTACCAAGCATGGTCTCTTCAGACAAAGTCTTATGTTGCCTGCAATTCTCATCACTTGTTCGCAGATCCATCACCATATGATCCAGTGCATGCCTTGGCTGGACAAAATGTTGATTCCATTTTTATAGCAGGCTTGCGCAAAATAGGATTCCATCTTTACAACACGAACTTTTGGATACCCCCAACAAACTTGAAACAATCTATAATTTTGTCAAGTTACCACTTTGGTCTCAGTTTGTAGTTCAAACGCTGTTTCTGCAAATTGATCCCAGCAAGTCTGGAGTACGCATCTAGGCATGTCTGCCCACCATTCACAGCTCTGTTTTGGAGGGTCTCCCCAAGACGCAGCGCAGTACGGTCAGTAGCATAAAGGAATTCGCAAATCCCCCACAAGGCTGCAAAGCGCAGAGAGCACTCATTACCTCATGGGCAAACAGTTCTCACTTGGAAGCACCCACTTGAAAAATAAATATGCAACATATGTTGACAGGGTTGGCTTGGCAACATCATCAAAACTGGAAAGACAAAATTGCAACAATAAATTCGAGTTGCACTGACATGTGTTGGTAATCTCTTTGGCTACATCACACAGATAAAACAGCAGTGGCTTTGTATGTGCCGCCTTCACATTGGAATCTAGCTCGGGGTAGCCCTTTTTATCGTTCTCACCTCTGCTCAGAAGATGAAGATTGAAGGTAAAGGGTGGTATTTCGATTTTTTTTACCTGGCGACACCATCTTCGGAAGGATGATCCAAGTTTCCCCAAGAATGCATTGCCCTTCTCACCTGAGTTCACGGTCACACCTTGCAAAGATTGCAAGCCTTGAGGAAAAAGTCCACTGGCATGAGGGTCGGTCGCCTCAGATTGGCCAAATGGTGTCAGACTTGCGGCTATTAATTTATAGCACACCACCATTGCAGCAAATTGCATACCCATCCCCAAATAAAAAAACTCTGTAAATTTGATTGCAATTTGTGGGAATATTTGGATGCACTCTTAGCAGTTTGTTTTCAATCCATAAATGACCCCATAAAAATCCCGTATAAGTTGGGATATTCGATATATAATTGGTGGTAAAAATCCATCTACTGAATGGGATGGACCCCCAAATATGTTGCACTTGCAAAGTAGCCACTTGGTGCAGCCAAGAGTCATAGTCGAACAGCACGCTTGCTGCCAAATCTTTCCCAGTTCCCAAAAGGATTGTATGTGCTGAATCCCATTTGACACGCGAGATCACAAATCCAGGGATATCTAACCATGGCGTTCGTTGATCCACTGGTGTGTTCTGAAGATAATCATCATGTGACTGCAAAGTAGATCGCCAAGGGGCTGTTTCACTGAAATCAGTAAATACCAGGTGCAACAGGCGTTCAGGGGTTCTTGCAAAAGGCTTCACAGCTAGACACTGATCGCAAACCTGGGTACTCTGGTAATTGCGTCGTATGAAACAGTGTGAGAGGGCCCTCTCTTTCCAATCCCCTGTCCAACTATCAAAGGCTCCACGCCACCCACCGCAAATACTCTGGCCAGCTTTGAGGGCACGCTTTCCAAGCATGGGGTTTCCAAATTGATCAGTGCTTGGGAAAATGCCATCCAATATATTTTGACCTCATATGATGGTTCTGGTACCCAATCGAGAAATAATAACAAGTAGGATTTCTGGGGATGCTGCTATATGCCCTTAATAATTGTAGCTGCAGGGGGCTGCAAAAAGAACTAGCTAATTCAAGCTATTAACACTTGTGGGATTTGTGAAGCAAAGACATGTAACAAATAGGATGCTTTGTGGGCCAAGACACTATCCCAAGCAATAGCCTTTACAATTGCAGCATTGGCTTTCGCCCTCAACGATTTCGTTGGCAGGAATCGAGATGGGATCGCAGCAAAGACAAATTTTGTAGCCCAATTGGTTTTGGCCATCACCGAAGACCACATCCAAACCAGTAATTCATGGTTGTTGTTGAACTCACATCCATCAACGAACCATTTCACCTTGCATGATTTTCATATACACCTGTTATCCCAATATTAGTGAAGGACCACATCCATCCCATCAAATAAGACACCTAACTAAATAAATATACCCATACTATAAACCAATTATTATATATGTGGGAATATGATTTTAAGAAGATGGGATCTTGAACTGTGGGACAATAATGAAAATTGCGAAAACCCAATAATCAGATTGAGAACCTCGAACCATCCGTCCGAGGGACCGGGAAGCTGGCATCCTGCAGATTTTGCCTGAAAGGCCGGCAACTTGAGGGACGCAGTTGAAAGTGACACCCAACCCAACAAAAACAATCTTTATTGGTGGGACATGGGAAAATCAAAATTAAAATTGTTAACAGGAAGGCAACCGAATGGCTGAACAACAGGGTGATTGCTAGCCCAATCTTCTGCAGCGTAATCCCAGTAAAGTTGGCATTTTTCTGCCGTGGCCCCAATGCAGGCATCCCAAAGAGTAGCGTTCTGCTTTCGCCACAAAGAATGTAGAACATCCGATGCAAGCAAAATAGGTATACTTTTCTGTTGAACTTGTGCCAGATCAGGGTCATATACATCTATCACTGTGGTGAAAGTTTCCAGTTCAGTATTGTGGGCAGATGGCATCCATCTGTGCAGATCCCTCTCTACATTTTGCATGTGCCCCCATGAAGCCAAACTGGCAATGCTCCTGATTGTATCCTCTTCCAAGCCATCTTGGTGGGCTGCTAGCGCATAGCGTTGTGCTGTGCTTACATGGATTTCCTGAGTTGTTTTAATCACTTGATTCTTTTGCATTTGAAATTCGAAAAAACTCTTCTAAACAATGGTTCACCACCTACCCCAAGAAACAAATGATTTTTATCCCCTGGTCAAGGTTCTCCCCTGGAAATGTCCCAGAGTAGCTCGCGCGCCAGCGATCCACCAGGTGCACTGGCTTTCTGCCTTCTAGCTGGAGGACCGGAAGCACCTGGCATGGCCGGGGATAGGGGTTTTAAACATGGTTTCCCTTGGTGCTAGAAAGAACCACTGTTTTGATACAAGATGCACTGATTTGTGCATAAGTATATGCACAGGCATTGTCATATATATATATATATTTGTAAACATGTATGTATATATATATATAAACATATATACATATATGTGTTTGTTTATTTGTTTGTTGATTCAATGATATGTACATATATACATCCATGTATTGTAGAAACAGGTAAAAATAGAGATCAACCAACTGACAGCTAGCTAGCCAGCTAGGTAGGTGGGTAGGTAGGTAATATATATATTTACATATATATATATATATATCCAAAGGTATGTTCCCAAAACTTTTCCTAAAAAACATCTCTGTTTGTCAGGGTATTGGGTAAACAATTATGATTTTTTGCCCCAAAGACTCAAACCACACCAGCTCCATTGGGGCACCTGTTTTTTCTTTGCCAGCATGCCGAGTGGATCACGCAATGATCTTATCCCAGCTACTTGACGCACATACCCCTTGAACTCTGAACCACTCCACAGAATGGTTTCCCAAGATGTGCACTGCCGATGCAAACAAACATGTATTTTGGATGTCCTTTTGATTCTCTGGGACAGCAAAATAATAGAAGAGGGCAACTAATAGAAGGTGAATTCTTCACAAAATAACTTTCCCATGGCAGTGTTCGGAATCAAAATTGTAAACCGGCCACATCACTTGGGCAACAATCTAAGTCGAAGCCCCTGCAGAAGGGTTGGAACTGCTGCTGGCAGTTTTCATCGAATTTGCAATCTTCTTCCTGGCTTTGAACCAGGCTGTGTAGCGCACAGCATTGTCAAAATGCTCTTGGTAAGACTGCAAGTCATCCACTCCACCGGAAATGAGACTGGTCAACTTCCGGTAGAGATCAACCATGCACTTCGCATGTTCATCCAAAGCATTTCTCAACGGCTCAGAGCATTCCAAGCCCTCAATTGACACGATCAAGGTTCGAGCTTCTTCAGCTTCTTTCAGCCTTAGAATGACGATAGCATAAAAGACAAAGATCGTTAAAGGATTGGTTTTTAACGGGGTTATTCAAAATCACTGGAATATTCTTTTGTTATAGCTAAGGGGCACTGATTTGGCCAATGCCTTGGCCTTGGTCATAGGAGTCGTCGGGGTCTCTTGCGGTGGGGTGTCGGGAGTGGTGCCACTCGGATCCTGACCCGTGCTCTTCTTCCCTCCTTTGCCCCCTTTGCCCCCTTTGCCCCCTTTGCCACCTTTGCCACGGCCCTTGCCATGGCCACCGTTCCCATCAGGAACCGTGACATCACTGGGAGCGAGCACATCGGCGAAAGATGGTGCTGCAGCCACCGAGAAGTCAGATCCTCAACACAGGTAGCGCAGATAACTGACATGGCAATGGGGTCTATGTATAGGAATCTGTATATATGTATATATATATGATATATGTGTGTTTATTTATCTAATTATTGGTTTGTATTTATATTTTTTTACACACATATATATACACAAACATAAGCATACATTGACATTCCCTTATACATATTTATATATGTGTAAAGATACAACATGTATCTACATATGGGGTGTAGGGTATATAAATATTTTCACATATTTGTATGATTGTATGTATGTATGTATGTATGTATGTATGAATACACACTCACAATATTGAGATATATAATAATAATATAACATAATCATATATGTTTATATGTATAGGGTGTGCAACTGTAGGTATCCGGCAACCTCCCCTGCTTGTCGATTACAATGACCAACAGTTAACAGAACATCATTTTTTAACTCCATACCTAATGAAGAATCTAATGGCTCTACAATGGTTGAACATAAACATAGAAAATAAACAAACAATGTGTGGACCAATGAGTCCTTCACTCACGAGGTTGACACCTTCGGCACTTGTGATGCCGCCTGTCATGATAATGTGTTGGCGATCTTCCTGATTCTGCTGGTTGGTTTGGGACACATCATCTACCAGTAAGTACCTCCTGAGGTGAGTCACACCAGGAAAATTGGGGTCATCGATGTACCTGTTTTCCCGGGTGAGTCGCTCCACCAGCTGGTCAATCTCCTGGGTGGTGTAGCGATTGGATTGCTCGATCTGAGCTCTGCTCCATGAGACTGTTGTGCTTTGTGCACTGCGCCTCTGGGAGTTGGTCCTGGAAATCTCCAATCCACACCTCCCAAAGTCCTGGGCATGTGTGAGCCACATATTGAATAGATCTTTTCGCTGGTTGCGATCAGCAAACATGGCCTTCACTGATGGCTCCAATCGATCCCTTAGCTTTGGTTTGTGACATGTAACCCTCACAAAAAAAATGCCATACTTATTTTATCACAAACATATATGACATCTTATGTTTGAAAATGACCCTGTTGGAAGTAAAAACATTATCCCATAAGAAGCCTAAGTACGGGTGGTTGGCTGCACGTAGGAATGCCATGTACTCCTTCCGGTGTGTACTGGATGTTGCAATCTCCCTAGTGGGCTTGGCTGCATTTTCAGCTGCTGTGGTCGCCACGGTGTGCTCAATCACTGCCACAATTCCTTGAGGACTGGTCGCTTGCGCTGCTGCGTTGCTTCCAGCTGGAGGTTGTCCTTGGGCTGGGTCGGGTGCTACTTGCGAGGCCTGACCAGGCACAGGAGGTTGTTGGCCAGGTTGGACCCCAGGTTGCTGAACCACAGGAGCCGAAGTCTGTTGACCTTGGGCTTGACCAGGTTGAACTGCAGGATCGGCAGGAGTCTGTTGACCTCCATGGGCTTGAGCAGGTTGAACTCCAGGTTGGGCTGCAGGCTGTTGCCCTTGGCCAGGTTGAACTCCAGGATGCTGAGAGGCAGGCACAAGTGCTTGGGCAGGTTGAACTCCAGGTTGGGCTGCAGGCTGTTGTCCTTGGCCAGGTTGAACTCCAGGATGTTGAGACGCAGGAACAGCAGGTTGCTGGGCCGATGTCTGTTGACCTCCATGGGCTTGAGCTGGTTGAACTTCAGGATGGGCCGGAGTCTGTTGACCTTGGGCTTGAGCAGGATCAAATCCAGGATGTTGAACTGCAGGCACAGCAGGGGCAGGATGGGCCGAAGTCTGATGACCTTGGGCTTGAGCAGGCACAGCAGGTTGCTGATCCGAAGTCTGCTGGGCAGGATGGGCCGAAGTCTGTTGACCTTGGGCAGGCTGAACTCCAGGTTGACCTTGAGGATGGGCCGAAGTCTGTTGACCTTGGGCAGGCTGAACTCCAGGTTGAACTCCAGGATGGGCCGCAGGCTGTTGTCCTTGGCCAGGTTGAACTCCAGGATGTTGAGGCGCAGGCGCAGCAGGTGCTTGCACAGGTTGAACTCCAGGATGGGCCGCAGGCTGTTGACCTTGGGCAGGCTGAACTCCAGGTTGAACTCCAGGATGGGCCGCAGGCTGTTGTCCTTGGCCAGGTTGAACTCCAGGATGTTGAGACGCAGGCGCAGCAGGTGCTTGCACAGGTTGAACTCCAGGATGGGCCGCAGGCTGTTGACCTTGGGCAGGCTGAACTCCAGGTTGAACTCCAGGATGGGCCGCAGGCTGTTGTCCTTGGCCAGGTTGAACTCCAGGATGTTGAGACGCAGGCGCAGCAGGTGCTTGCACAGGTTGAACTCCAGGATGAGCTGCAGGCTGTTGTCCTTGGGCAGGTTGAACTCCAGGATGGGCCTGAGCTTGTTGACCTTGGGCTTGACCTCCAGGATGTTGAACTCCAGGAAGGGGAATCTGGGCTGGATGTTGGGCTAGAGCTTTGGGCACCACCTGCTGCTGATCAGCTGGATGAGCCACACCAGGATGGGCTGCAGGGTGCTGAAGGAGTGCTTGAGCTGCCGCTGCTGCTGTGGCTGCCCTGTGTTCTTCCTGCACCCTCAACACCTCTTTGGCTTCCATTTCCATCTCAACAGCCTGTTCAAGCTGCGCCAAGGCATCGTCAGATAGCACCTCACCATCGAGATCTTCAGGCTCACTAGGGGCCACCGATGACACACCTGCCGATGTTGAGATATCCGCCTGCATGGGGTGGGACAGAAGATCAACAACAATATACAACAGTATTTTTCTTGAAGTTCTCACTGGGTTTTTTTGGATATATAAAATGGACTGGTACTTGATTGTTTTCTTGAAGTTATCATTGGGTTTTTTTGGATATATAAAATGGACTAGTACTTGATTGGGCGAAGATCAACAACAATATACAACAATATTTTTTTGAAGTTATCATTGGGATTGTGGGATATATAAAATGGACACAACAATATTTTGAGGTTATCATTGGGATTGTTTGGATATATAAAATGGACTGGCCAAAATAAATATTGAAAAGGTGGCTTCTTAAGTTGAGGGGCTGCAAACTCTTCCCAAGCCAGCCCATTTAGCTCTGCAGCCAGCTTGAACTTCTGTAGCAACTCCTCTTTGGTCATCTTGGGCACTTTTGGCTTTGGGGCCGATCCCGTCGACGATGGCTCTGAAGATGGAGCTGTACGTTTCTGAGGGCCATGCTGGCAACCCCTACTGCTGTAAGTCAGAGGGTCAAAAAATCGTTTGATGTTCTCTTTGGTTGTGATCATTTGAGATGGGGCAATTGCCTTTGGTTGACTAACCCCATTGCACTTCCCATGATACCTGCTTTTGTCAAAAAAAATCTCGATATCACCCCTTGATGGTGATCCAAAGACTGGGATGCTGATGGTTTGCTTCACCCCAGCCTGTGGAGTCACCAGTGCAGAACCACCCCCGGGCATAGGGAGTGACATGGCACCAGAGGAAAAGTGACCACTCACCCTTCTGAATGATCCCAAAAAGCCGCTGGATATGAAAAAATTGAATGCGTGAACAATCACGAGTTTTCACGGTCGTTTCACGGAGTTTTCACGGCCTTTCGTTTTTTCAAGATTTTTGAAAAAATATGAATCAGTGTTGAATCCAATCAGAAGTTCACATCATCCTTAAATTTTCTGTTCACTCCATATTAACCGATAATAGATTCCCCAATTTTCTGTTCACTCCACATTATCCCATCATAGACTCCCCACACTAATGAAAATTTTCTATTCACTCCACATTACCCGGTGATAGACTCCACATAGACTCCCCAAAATAGTTCTAAGCCCATAAATCTACCACAAAACTATTGCTTTGACTCCCCAAAATAGTTCTAAGCCCATAAATCTACCATAGTTCATAGACTCCCCATGGGCCGGGTGAAAGCACCTTCATCATCTTTGCCCAGCTGGAGGCATCGCTTCATATGAAGTACCACCTACCGACGGTGTGGGTGCTGATCTTGAGGATGGGTATTTGGAATTTGGAATATATTCCAGGGGAACTGGATACGTAACCCATTGGGAAATACGTATATATACATAACCAAAAGAGTAACCAAAAGGGATTTATATATACATATATTTATATAGCCATATCACATTGGGATATATATGTACATATATAAATATATATTTATTTAAATATCAACAACTGGATTCATAACACATTGGTATATGGGTGAGAAACCCTTTGGGATATATATATATATAACCATATTTTTCACTTAATATAACAGAATGGGATGTATGTATGTATATATATATACATATCAACAGATGGATCCATGACACATTGGTGTATCCCCATGTGGTGGGTGAGAAACCTTTTGGGATATGTATATAAATTATGTATATATATATATAATCATTTTTATGTGCATATACTATCAACAGCTGGATTCATAACACATTGGTATATCCCCATGTGGTGGGTGAGAAACCCTTTGGGATGTATGTATATAAATTATATATATATATATATCCTGGCTGACCGGGTGCTGAAGATAATATACAAACAATAGAATGGGTACATAATGGATACATTGCCACGTTTGGGATTTATATCTGATCATTGGAACACCCCTGCACAACCACTATAGATAGGTGGCTTGATATGGGACAGCTATCATGTTTTTTACCTGTGAGTTGAAATGTTCTGACATATTATCAAAGGAATACCCACTGGCTGCACAACCATAACCAAACATATTCTGGCATATTTTCTGGAGGTGTTCTCCACTGACATATATCTCGACACCCCAACCCCCAACACATTTTCCACTTGGCCAACACACACGCTGTGCAACTTGTATGGGTCTGCAATCAGAGCGTCCAGTCAGCTGCAAACTATATGGATCTGCAATCAGAGCATCCAATCAAGAACAAATTACTTAGTGGTTTTGTATTTACTTGATGACTGGCCACACTTGTGCCCCTGATCTGAGACCACGGCATGCAATGCAGCAATGTGCGAAGTAGCGCACATGAATTGACACCATGATATAGTATATGGTTCACTTCATGGTGCCCATGGATAGAAACTGGAATACATCGGACAAGTCTGCGTCAGGCCACTTGTCAACTTTGCCCCCCAAATTTTTGGAAGCTTCTTCACAGGGGGCAATGGTCTTTCAACTGCCATTTTCCAAACACCCACCGTGGCATGACCAAAAGCCGGTGGATACGCCTGAGAACCTTTCAGGTCTGAACTTCCCGAAACCTGAACACGCCCGTCTGCCAAAGTCTTTTTGGTTACAAGGGGTGCCCAGGTTTTGCAAGGAAGGGGCAGAATGAATTTCTGGATGTCGGCATGAGGTCCCCATAGGTGAGTTCCCTTTGGCGAACTAGCGCCGTATGATCCCATCCAGCAATGTATTTTAAATACAACGCAGGATTCAACAAATTGTTGCATTCTTGGGTGTTGAAAAAGGAGCGAAGTTTGGGGTTGCTCATAGAGCCACAGGCATCTCTTTGCCTCCAAAACCCACAATATCAGTGACATTCTGCTCACCATGACCTCAACAACGGTGCATGCTCAGCCCATGCAGTAAATTGAAAAGCTTATCAATAAGTCCAATTGTTGGAGAGTCACCCACACAGAAAATAGTTGGGGTTCGAAAATCAAAACTGCAAAATTATAGTCATGGAACATTTGCTAATGCCACACTCTTGACCCTTTCGTCACCTAGTGGTGACCAAACTGTTCGGCGACTCCTGAACTGGACAAAGAATTGAAATTACTGCCCTTGATCCTTTTTGGGGTGCCATCCCCTATCAGAAGTAAACTTGTTTGGAATCAACTAGCAATCAAACGTTTGTAGAATTATTTCTGCAAGACTCGTGGATCTGTTGACAAACACCCATGTGCTGCACACAGTTGCGATCATTGCGAAGCCGAAATTCTTGGTCATCAGCGCCATGAGTAAAGCCATGCAGAACCTAGTCCGATATGAAAATATCACCAATGGTTGTGCAGTTGTATATCAAAAACATGTAATCAAAGCATTTGGTATCAACCCCATGTCGATGGTCCCAAAGGGGAAGAGGACTGGACACCCCATTATTTTCAAACCACCATTCAAGGGACAATTATGTTGTATGTCGTAGTGCATATATTTCGGACTATGGTATTTCAGTGTATAGTGGGCATGTGGGTGAATATACGGGATCCCCAAAGAGTCCTTTTTTGGGCCCAAAGAGTCAAAATTGGGATCCCAACAAAACTTACCCCTAAGCCTTTAAAGATTCACCCATATCATGGTATTGTTGGTTTTTGGGGAGCGAAAGGTGGAAACCCATATATGGAAGTAACACCAAAATTCCCAATCCCGCTATATCCTTAAAATAGCCAAAGGGTCCCCGGTGTAGACAAGATGTCTGCCATGCTGTTGAGTTTGATCTCGAATGGGCAGCTCCGGTAGCCTGCCTGTGCCCAGGCTCGAGTTACCTCAGCCAGTAGCTGCATGAAGGCAGAAGGGTCTTGGATCGTTGGAAGATTTGAGATACAAAGACATTGGGGGCACCTTTTTAAATTGAAAACGGTCAAGTTTGATGCATTTCTAAATGTTAACCAACACACCAAAACAATAACCTTCTTTGAATGAGTTAAGGAACTGCCTGCTCACCAGCAAAATATTCGACCATGTCTAATGACTCCGTGATCCCACCTGTAGAAAGGAACACCATAGTGATGAGCTGTAGCAAGACAACGGGGGCGCCGATGCTCACCAATCGCCCACAAATGTTGTTCAACTCAGGGGATCTAGAAAGGAAACAAAAGAGATTGTGGGGACACAACACGATACTTAAAACCGATTGAATTCAATACACAAGGTATGTTTGGGTTTGAAACAGTTTGAAAGCAGGCACCTGTGCCCTGCTCTTTTCAGAGGCGGCAACCCAAGTGCTCACAGTTTGGTAGATGGGGTTAACCACATCATCCACAACATGCTTGGAAACCCGGGTCTTCTTGTCAACCTTCATCTTTTTCATCTGGCTTTGGTTGACCACCTTCTTCTTCTTGGAGTTCTTTAGGTATTGCATCACCATGGTGAAGCTATCCCAAGCTGCTATGGCTTACGTTGTCAACAGGCTTCGAAGCAGACCCTTAATCCGAAACTTTTCAACAAAGAAGACAACATATATTTTGTTTTGCCAAAGCAGTAAGCCAAAGAAGTTCTTCACCGCTAAGCTGTTTTGACTGCTCGCACAAATTGATTTCAGATGAACAAGCTCAACCATCATCTGTTTTCTCTGTAACTAGTCATTCCCCTTAAAATTGAGAGACCACAATAATGCGTACCAAGTGGTGAATCCAAAGCACATGGTGTTTGTATTTTTTGCTATCTGCCGTTTGGTGAAATAGCACATTGCATCATGACAATTGCATGATCGTCGCACCCCCATGTTCAACTCATCTAAATGGACTAGGCAGCATGCATATGCGCTGCAGCCCCACAGAAAGATATGAATGAATTTCCCACCACACTGTGTCATCTAGTGCGGTAACAGGGAATAGAATTGGCAATTTGGGTTTCAATCCAAAAGTAGGCCCTATCTTGGCACATCAGCCGATCCAGCCACAGACAACCTTGGTCTCTGCCCAAGCCCCGCCAATGTCGCCATTCCATGAGCGCTGCTTGAGCACAGGTGGTTCGAGCTTCTCTCCTTAGATCCCAGAAGTCAGAGGTGGAATTGGGTTGATTTACCGGGCATGTGTGGCACCAGAAAGAGCACCTGCATGATTGGGTAAGACCCCACAAATATAATTAGGCAAGATTCCACTAGGCGTCTTTTCTGCACAGCAAACCACACGAAACGCACGGTGCTTGAGAAGCACTTCGATCTTTGCACCTGAAGCCTGATCCTGGACTGTGTATGAAAGTCGCCCACGTCTCTTCCCACTTGGAAGTAGTTCTGCTGGCATTCCTACAGGGGCCATAATTCATATTGGTTTTATTTTGGTGGGCAAAGAGATTTTGCCAGTGCAAATATAAACCACTGATATCCAATACCATTCTGTTTTCTTATTGAACCCATAGCCTTCTGGAATTGGCAGCATGCTGGCTGGTTCCGATGGCCCTGCATCATCGCTCTTTTCCTTGCAGGGCTTCTTGGCCTTCTTCCCTCCATCTGGAGCGGTGCCCCCAGCTGTTCGCTTCGGCCGCTGGGCATCCTGGGTGATGCGAGAACTATGCAGATATATGATATAATAATATTTATTTTATATCTATTTAATTTGATATTATATTGTTTTTTTGAAATGTGTTATGTTATATTGTATTAAATTTTGTAGTACTATGTAATATTATATTGTACTATAAATATTATTGTATAAACACTATATTATATTGTACTTGTTTAAATTACATAATGTTGCATTATTTTATTACATCATATTTTCTATTGTACTATATGAAAATAAATTGTATTATGTTATATTAGATTAAACTATAATTTTATTATATCATAATGTGCTATATATTGTATATATACAAATTAGATTATATTACATGATATTAGTTTAAACTATATAGTATCAAATTATATTATTTTATATTCTATTATACTGTATTATATTATATTATGTTATATTAAATTTTATTTTATTGTATTGTATTGTATTATACTATATTATATTGAAATATTTTGTATCACATTATATCATATGATATTATTATTTTATTATATCTTATTACTACTTCATTCATATATATATTTATATATATTGCATTAAGTTAAATTATATTATCTTGTGCTATATTTTCTTATTGTTGTTGTATCATTTTATTCTATAAAAATTACTAATTTACTCTATTATGTTTTAAGTAGTTTTACATGATACTATATTACAGATTATTTTACTATATTTTAGTAAAATATATTGTATTGCTATTATTTGATATTGTATGAAATTTTACTATATTATTTTTGATTTAACATGACTATACTTTACTGTTTCTTAATCTATCATATTACATTCTATTATACTAAATTATATTCGAAAAGTTATATTATATTTTTTCTTCTTATATTATTTGATGTTTTATATTATAATCTTTAATAGTTTGAACTATTTTATTTGTCCATATGTATTTACAAAAGTTAATGTATTTTAAAGAGAATAGATAGTATATATTGTATGTTGTGAAATATCAATTTTAAGGTGTGTGTGTGTATATATAATAATATATAGGTAAATCTATATATATATATATATGTATATATGTATATAGGTAAATCTATATATATATATATATATATATGTAGGTAAATCTAAATGTACGAAATTTTATGTATATATGTATATATATATATGTTAAATGTCTACATATAAAAAATATATTGATCTTCTATGCGCACAGATGTATAAATATACATATGTATTGTTAATGGTATGCGTCTCTAAGTGTTTGGTTCTGAGTTTACATGTATTGTGCACAGGTATATCATTTTGAACAAGAATATTTGAAGAAACAGTATGTCAAGACATAGATAGGTGTATCTGATATCTCATTATCTGGGGATGTGTCAAATTGATTCGCCCTTTCCATTTAAACATTGTTTGGTGCCCAAAAAATATGCATGTGTGGGTCTGTTTTACGTATCTCTGCATACATGCATGTATGTATGCACTTGCATGTGGGTAGATGGGTTAGTTGATGGATGAATGATGGATTGATGGGTGGAGTCGTAAATTGATGGATGGATAGATGGATGGATGGATGCATGATTGTGTAGGAAAATAGATTTGCTTTGTTTTGGATGTGGTTTTTAACAAATGTGGTTTGTTTATCTCAGCTCTAGCCAAATGTCCAAAAGCTTCAGCTGCTCACGAGGGCAAACCACTGCTGGTGGGCCTGACACTGGTCCTTCAGGGCCACCTGGTGGCGCCAATGGATTGGATGCCATTGGCCGGTCAAGCTCAGGACCTTTTTTCCTGTGGCGAATTTTTTTGGGAACATCGGCCGGGTCTGCAGATGCGGCAGAACCTGACATGGCAGAGACCCTCTACTGACATATTCATCTGACACAAAATTGAAAAACATAGTTTTGGTTGACTTCGTGGTTCAAAATTTAAATGCAAACCTACTTGATCAAAATCTGATGTAAGAAAATCTGTTTCAAGTAGCTTTCAACTTCAACATTGATGGAATCGGTCAAGGGTAGGGGCTCAGCAACCTCTGGCGCCATGGGATATTCGGTTGGCTCCCCTGTCTCCACTATCTCCAGATCTGGTTGATGAACTTCATGGGATGGTTCCACGAAAAAGGATTCGATCGGGGTATCCAGCTCAACAGGAACTTCATGGGATGGTTCCACCGAAAGGGGTTCGGATGGGGCATGGCTTGGATCTTCTGAAGGATGATCGCAAGGCTGAAAAATATGCCCGTAGAACTCAGGTGGGTATGTTGCCTGAACATCAGGGTACAGTAAGTTTATTTTTTTGACGCCGGCATGGGTTGCAAATTGAATTTCAAACACATGTGTGGATACATAGTTTATGGGGAATCGATTTAACTTTCAAAAAAAAATCAAACTCTGGCTGGGGCAAGTTTGGCAGTTTGACACCCGAGCCTGCACCCTCTCAAGCAGATCTTGGGAATGAGCACTGTTAGGGTCCAACCTTGGTTATTTCACAATCAGCTTCCTGGCTCAAAAACCCACTGGTCCATTTACATAAAAGTAATCATGTTGTTTCAAGCTATATAGTATACAGTGGGTATTGACCATCCCTTTTATGCCTTACTGGGGGGCCAATATTGTACTGATAAATTACCATTCGCGCTTTTTCCAAGGGACCCAAGCAGTTGCAAGGTCTGGTCGATGATGCTCAAATCTGCCGTCACCGTCGAGCACCTCAGATTTTCCAGATGGCACTGGCACTAAAGGGATAAATGACCCTGTGGATAGTGGATGGAAACCACCTGAACATGTTCAAGTTTTTATTTATGGGAACCACCTAAACATGTTCAAAGCATTATTTCAACATTGGGAACAACAAATCATTCTAGAAATTTCTTGAATGAAAACCGAGTACTTGTCATTCTAGGAACTGTTTTGAAGCCACGCCAGATGGCGATGGATTGCTTCCAGTATCTGCATACAGCGACTCACCATCAAGCCCAATGGTAGTAGCCACCGATGAAGTAGACGGCGATACTGGGGACATGCTAGCCTGACTCCCTGAACGACTGACCCTTTTGGGCTTGTGGATTGACGCTGCAAGTTCCTTCAAGTAGGTAACTGTTGCATCTCTGCCTTTCTCATGTCTCCCCGAGCTATTCCTGATGTAAGACAACAACCATTTCAAATTGGTCCCATCTTTGAGTGCACGATCCCGTCTTGATGATTCAACCATTGGGTTGGCCGAAGAGAAACCCAAAATGGAATGACCCATGAGAATATCCAAATGAAGAACTGCATCAGCCAGCAAGTATGCTGACGCATCCTTATTCGATGGGTAAACCAACAGGATTCCCTCGGTCAACTTGGCTTTGAATTCATCTTGGACATCCGCCAGGGTCACCTTCCCAGCCACAGCTAAAGTAACCAAGCGCCCATTACCAGCACACTTCGTGGGGTCAATGTGCTTGTAAATGGATTCTGCAATCTCTTTCGCTATGGGTTTCCCAGTCCACCAAGACTTCCAAGAAGCTGTTGATCTAAACGATGAATCTGCCATTGCTCTTACCCACAACACGCCACACTTCCAAGCCAAATGCTTTTACGCTTCCAAGGTTGGACCAGCTGTGGTGGACCCGGGTAGCAGTGGAGACCCCGTGCCAGAAGCTTCTGAATATTTTATCGAATATTAAAACACTGACAGATAGAAATCATAAATGAACCCTACAGGAAACCAATTCATAGTTCAATGTAGTGGGAACACATGTCAATATTGTTGGAAACAATACCCAAGCTCGATACATCCCTGAACTGATAGAGTTACCGTTGAGAATATATCCCATTGGTTGAGTGGTCCATGATAAATTCCAATTGAAGAGAAGGTTTTGCTAAATTGTCGGGTCATGTTTTGGGGTTGACAGCACCGCTTGAATCTTTTGGACTCCTTGGAATCCAGTTGCATATATATACATACATAGATATAGAGAGAAATGCAATAGAAGGGATTTGGAGTAAAATTGAAGATGCTACTGAAAACATAACCACTAAAAACTATTTGTCCAATGTGGATATCTCCTATTTTTTTTTACATTGTGGTGCCACACAATTGGGCGCCCATGTGAGACTTCACTCAGAAGCCTTGCCCACCGGCTTGCCTCATATACACCATGAGGCAGAGCTCTGTAAAGAGCGCATGGAATCCCATAGCGAGTTGCGTACAAAAAGGTGTCAAACGGGTCAGTGTTTACACTGCTGTCACATATATGTAATATATATATATATGTATATATATATGTAATTATATATGTATATGTGCGTATGTGGGTGAGAAAAGATGTATATAGAGTACAGGTGGCTCAAACTTGCCAACTGAGGAACATGCCACATGAATGCGTGGAAAAAAAAACAACTGCTGTTACCCTTGCAGCTTTGAGAACTGAAATTGTCTTCCACAAAAAGGCTGCGTACCTGCAAAGGACGGCGCCGGCCGAAACAAAATGCAACGCATCATGGTAGTGGAGCCCCAAGAGAAAAAACACATATATCATCATATCTATATCTATATCTATATATATATGCACATCTAGCGCCCAATATGGGCAATTCCACCGAAAGAAAGCGCAGAGGTGAGGATCTCCAAATTTTTGAATCCACCAATCCACCAAAGCTCTTGCAAGATGACATTTGCAACATGTATTGCGCTTGGGCGAGCTTTTGGGAAGCAAACATGTTTACCAAAGGTGATATCCACCTACACTTGAAGGTGTTCAAGCCACACAGCAAGCTTCTAGTAAGCAAACGTATGTGCCAAAGCACCTGCAAGGTCAGACAGCACATGCATGGACGAGTTTCTAAGTCTGCCGAAGCAAGTTTTTAATGTACCAAAAGTTTTTAGTGGATCAACCATAAAAACTTTCGGGGCCTTAGTAACTAAGGGCTCGGAGCCTGCTGGTAGTTCAGAATAAAAGTCGCTATAGTTCAGACAAAACTAGCTATAGTTCAGACAAAAATAGCTAGAGTTCAGACAAAACTAGCTATAGTTCAGACAAAAATAGCTAGAGTTCAGACAAAAATAGCTATAGTTCAGATAAAAATGGCTATAGTTCAGATAAAAAATGGCTATAGTTCAGATAAAAAATGGCTATAGTTCAGATAAAAATAGTTACCTGGAGATAAAAATAGTTACCAGATCCCGAAAGGGAGAGGTTGAAACAACCAAGTCCCGAACGGGATCGTTTTAACAAAATAACGGATCCCGAACGGGAACAGTTGTAACTCAACTTGTTTCCCGATCCAAAAATACAGACAGAGATATCACTAAAAAAAACATATCGCCTCAGGTGTCATGATTCCTGAAACATACATAACTGAAACGCTTTCACATCACTTCGTCGATTCAAAAAAAGGATATCATATCTGAAAGTTCTTTCAGAAACAAGACAGTTATAAAATCCACGTGGTCGGAAACCAAGGCAAAGACTTTCAAAAGTATAAAAATATACAAAAAAGTTACAAAAAGTTATGAAAAGTTATAAAAAGTTAGCAGAAGTTATAAAAAGTTAGCAGAAGTTATAAAAAGTTAAGACAAAACTTACAAATAAGTTATTAAAGTTAACATAACTTCCTTTTATCTTTTTGATAAGTCATGTTAACTTCCAACATAAATCCTTTAACTTCTGTATATCTAGGCTAAGTCTGTAAAGTTTTATAACTTTAAGCGTACAGTCTTCGTGGGCACCTGGGTACCTGGGCACCGGCAGGTCACGTCACCTAGCTGCGGGTTCTCCACGTGGCGTGGAAAGGACGCCAGGCCGGAGAGACGATGCGCGAGAGTCGTAATGAGGACACGACCAGGGGCTTTAGAGTTGACACGAGTTGACATGAGTTGATTTTTATATCATCATGAATCATGAAAACAGTGAGATTGTGATGGATTGTGGCTTTTCAGTGTCAGCAAATGTTGGAAACGTCTTGAAAATTCAGTGATCTTTCCATAACATTTTACCCTGCGGTATACAGTATGCTCGAGAGAGTGTGGAAAGGCCAGCTGTAGGAACTAAGGCAAAACGCATTGCACTTTCCGTTGAATATATCCAAGTTGTAGGGATCTCTCAATTTGTCAAAACATGCCGGAGATTTCAGCTCCACGTCCTCCGATGGATTTCACGTGTTTTCCTGGATGAAAAACACATCCAAAGCGGGTTCGCTATGAGGCGAACCGCGGGGCTGCCAAGTTGCAGCAGCGAGGCAGGGAGTGGAGCTGGAGCCGATCGATTCGTATCTGGCGTCAAGGGAGACATTTCCGCGGAGGTTTTCGGATTTCCGTTGTGTTTTTTTTTGGTTTGAGGCCTTTCAAATATGTTGAGCAAAAAGTGATTGGAATCTGTTTTGTCTCAGAAAAGTGGAGTTGGGTCCAGTGGGTCCACCTAGTGCCTGAAATGTTGATCCTAGCAGGTGGCACTTTCAACATGTACCCGGTAGGTCCAATTTGGTGATCGGAGATCCTGCTTTTGGAGCTGACTTTCAGTTGATGTTCCTGTACTGAAAATTGAGTTTTCATTGCCAGGTTTGATTGGAGGGAAAAGAAGTTCAAAGTTCATCAAAGTTTACCTTTTCACAGTTTGGTTTGAGTCGTGACACCACTTGTCCGTTGCCCCCACTTGGCGTTGCAAGCTTGTCCGGTACCACCCGGCAGCATGGACATTCGACATTCGGTGCATCTTGCCACCATGATGCATGCCATCTGAGAACGCCACCTCGTTGTCGCACTATGTTGGAACAGAGTTGTTAGAAGGATCCTTTAGGATCCTTTAGGATCCTTCAGGGTTCGGCAAAACAAAGTTGATCCACGATATGCATTAGGCTTGATTAGGCTTGATTAGGCTTGACAGCTGCAGGACTTCCCTGCAGAGGTCCTGGAAGAGCTCGGAAACCAAGCATTGAGACGTGTGGGTCATGTTTACTGTGTTGGTTCTTTTGGTTCTTTTGGTTCTTTTGGAGGTGTTGCAGATTGTCTCCGCTTCTCAAGACGGACCTGTACCACAGCATTCGGTGACACTCACCTGGACATGAAACGGCCAGCCAAGCACATTGAGAACAAAGCAGCCAAATCTCATGTTGCGTAAGAGAAAGTGAGAAAGTATTTGATAAACCATGGACAAATCTGTGTATTGTTACAGACTGGACTTATATAATTCGTGCCGCTGGACAGCGCAAAGGATTCGCTGCCTCATGTCGGTCTCTGTGGATATTCCTGGACATGGTTACTTTGATATCAAACTGACTGCTTCGAGAACCGCTGCTGACATTATTTTATTGCTACGAGAGCGTTTGCCAGACAGCCCATGGCATGGGAACAAGTTGCTGTCAAGTGGGGTCTGCCAGCTGCAGTGCGATGACATTGTGGAGGCAACCCACCACGGCACTTTGGTCTTGACAAACTACTCAGAGATCACCAACCAGGAGACACACCTGCCTCTTTGTTCCTTTTTTTTTGCAAAAAGACGCAAGACAGATTGTGTACTGTACAACAAAACATCCCAAGTCCTCAGTAGTCTTTTGTGTATCGCAAAGCATGAATTCAGAAACAAACCAGCAACAAATACCAACAAACGCTGTGCCCATTATTCCACCTTCGCTACTGCATAATGCTTCAATTGAATTCCATTCCAATTTCATTTGCCGCATTTGTTGGTCGCCCCACACACGTCGGAGGAGGCTTTCTGCATCAAAGATACTGCAGAGCGAGGGATCACTCGCGAGCAATTGGCAAAACTTGTTGCTTTCATCTCCAAAATGGCTGACAGATGGTACGAAATGTTTGGAAAAGAGCGTGGGACAAGGCTGCAGTTTGAGACGTTCAACTTGTATCATGCGAATCACTGGATCATTAAGCCAGCCACCGAAGCCTGGATTTGTTGATGATGTGACAACATTTTCCAATTTGAAGAATCTACCGTTTTTCTTTTTTTAATTGGCAACATTATGCAGAATCCCAGGACGGCTATGCGAAAAAGGGCTGCAGCATGGTTGAGATCATGGCGATTCAAGTGCAGAGACCTCACTGGTTTGTGTCACATGCTTGGATCGAGCCTTGGTTGATAGGCAAACTTTTGAGGATTTTGGAGAGTTTGCTATTGCGTTGTCTGTCAGTAACAAGTTACTTTTTCCGCTAATAATTCACATTCCCCTAGAAGCCTTGGTTGAGCTTTGGACTTGTTCATTTCGGACCCTCAATAGGATGCTGTATCAAAAAAGAAATGAACATCCAGCGTAATGATAGATGAAAGTCAATCTATTGCTTTGAAGCACGTCCAATTTTGTGTTGGGCAGATCTGTGAGGAGCCTGTTTGTAAGTTTCTGGCCTGCTTGGAGCAGCATGCTCTGGTGCGAGAACTCTCAAGTAGTACATTCTATTGGGTTTGTGCATATGCCAATAACCAGCACTGCGTGGAAGAGGATATCAAAAGCAATCCACGCAGCACTTCATTCTACAGAGCTATGCAGATGTCTGAGGGAGTTCTTTTGGTGCTGGATTCAGCTGGAACGCCTTTCGGATGGTCGATGGCCAAACGGATGGTCGATGGCCAAACGGCAAGGAGCCGGTTTTCCTTTTTCAGGCAAATGCAGCTTTAGGCATGGATTACTACAGTCGCAGGGTTTTGACTGGTGCTGCAGTGGATGGCAGGGTCACAGAGCGCTTTGGTTTGCTTTGAGTTGTGAA